GTAGCGTCTTATTGTTAGAGGCGTTGTCGTACGTAATAGTAGTCAATCGCCGCTTAATCTCGAACTCTTGTAAGATCTCGAATAGTATCTCTGCAAGATAATTACTAGTATAACGGCTAGTAATATAAGGGAAACTAAGCATCCCTTCGTGCCAAGTCTATTAGTCGTTAATCCAGTAGACCCGTATAGTTAGGAATAAGGTTTTTATAGTCCTGGATTGCTAACCATTATACGCGATAGCTATCTTAAATCTTCTAGCGAGACGGGCTTTAAGGGAGTCGGCGGAGTCTATAACCTTAGTATCGAGCATCCTTCGGTATATCGACGCGCATTTGAACGGAATTGTCTCGACCTGTCCCGGAAGTAGTGCTATATAAGTCTGTTTCACCGAGGGTCGTTCAAAGAACTAGAATAGTAGACCGTTGTCGACAATCATCTCAAAGTATAGGCGCGGGAAATCGTCTGGTATGTAGCCTAGGTCCCTTGTCTACCGTAGATTACTAACAGTCTAGAAATATCGTCTTAGTATAAGTAGCTAGACGTAGTCGGCAGACGTGGTCGGTAGGTATGGTCGGCGTTAGTTAGTACTTACCTATCGATGCTTCGCGGCCGTAAATATCTCCTTTATAAACCCTCGCTTATCTTATTTCTCCTAGCAGTTCGAGGAGTCGAGATGCTTCTCGACAGATGTTGTACTAGTATTTAGTGCTAGGTGTTTTAGTATAGCGTTACAGCATCTGTATACGACTTTAGGCGTCGTATCTTCTTGAAGCATTCCCTCCTCTAGGAAATCCTATACCTAAGATGTCCGAGACTTACTCCCCTAGGTAATTAGGGACCGATCGAATATAGTACGACCGTTCCGCTTTTTAAGGCGCTTTCCGGTATAATTCCACTACCGTACCTCGTACTAACGCTCAAAGTTGTCCTTATACCTAAGCCTCTATAGCTAGCAATTTGACTTGATATCCTACTCTCCTACATAATTAGGCTCGATAGGGAGAATAAGGGAACTATCTAGTTCCTCTTCTACTGGACTCGGCCGTCTCGTTCTACGCCGCCTAACGTTAGGTTGTCGTCGGCGTCGACCTAGTGTTAGACTCGATAGCGCGTTGAGTGTCGTCCTATAGCGCTAGCGTAGCCGTACGCTCGATCGCGTAGGGGTCCCGGAAGAGGTATCGGGCTAGGAGGAGGATTCGAGCCGGGAGCTTCCTACTCCTAGGGAGGACGAGAAGGAGGACGAAAACATAGTAGATAGACGACAATAGCGTAAAAGTCCAGAGGTATCTTAAAGAAGTAGGAGGAGAAAGGGGAAAAAGAAAGAGAATTTCCTATACTCAATCATAGTATTACGCTATAACAAGGGTATAGCTAATAGGATATACCGACATTCTGCTATATCCGAGCCAACCTATCGAAACCCTAGTTCAGGCGTCGCTTGCTATTTACCTATCGCTTCCGCTTCTTAGTCTTAAACTTTAACAAGGGTAGCCAGTCTCTTGTCCTTCTCAACCAGTTCCTCGAGACCAGAAATCGAGAGGCAGAGTTCGTCTTCTTAGAGGAGGAGGAGCAGGATAGCTTCGAGAGTAATACTAGTATACTCTTTTACGCTACAATAGATAAGGCTTTCTATTACTACTAGCTATATTGTCTGTTCCTTCGTAAGAGAGTTCTCTTTCTCGTACATCTTATACGCTATCTTTGCGAGATACTTGTTCTCCTTTATTGTCTTTAAAGGCAAAAAGCCGTTAGCTGCATAGTCGTAGGTAGCGGGAATGAGCCAAGAAGGGCCTAGCAATCGCCCTCTATAGTAGGCTTGAGCTTTAGTATCCTACGATAGGACATTCCGGCAAACGGCTCGCTTAATAGGCGAGAAGATCTTATATAGTAATAGCATTCGGACTTCTTTAATACAAATCTGGAATTGTAATTAGTTTCTGTAGTCGGCAAATATAGTCGGCAGATATTTACCTTTATTGTCTCGCTACCAACGATTTTCAAGACCTCTTTTATACCTTTCTTATTTAGTATATCCAGGTTCTTAAGGATAACAATCTTGTCCTAGAAGTAGTGAATAGAAGAGCGCTATTGATTGTAGGCCGTCGAAAAAGTAGAAGAGGATGCCTAGATAGCAAAGGTACTAATAGACTTAGCCCTCGCTTCCTCTATCTGTAGAGTCGAGAATAGATTAAGAACTGATTCCGAGGGAAGGCAATAGTTGCTAAGGCCGCTAACCCCTTTGTCGCACTCCTCGCTAACAGATAGATACTTCTATTCCTACTTAATCTGGTCTTCTTTCTGGAATGTTAATCGTTCCTTAGAGTCGATATCGCCGAGTTCGAGAAACCAGTCGGCTTTATCAATCTTTGCCTACTTATCGGGAGGAAGTATTACACTCTTTCCAGTCTGCTTCTTTGTACTAAATCAGAAGTTAGTACTCAAATCTGCCGACTATATCCGCCGACCACATTTGCACTTACGCTTTTTGATTATACTCCTTTGTATATATCTTTCTCTAGCCCTCGATAAGTTCCTATTGCTTATCTTTAGCGAGGCTTTCGAAACTCGTATACTCCTTGATTTGTACCTTTTTGAATCGCGCGAAGGATTCGTTACGCGCTTTACGGTATCGATCCTATACCCTCTTTTCTTCGTCTATAGCGGTAGTACGCTCTCGGTCTCGTAAAGTGTTTGGCTTAAGGGAGTACTCCTCGAGTAACTTCGAGGCTGCGCCGAGCTTTGCGCGCTTGTTTGCTAGTGCCTCTGGGGTATTGCTCTTGCGTTTCGGCATAGTAAGGTTTCTAATGTTAGTATAGTAGTTGAAGAAGAACTCGGTCTGATTACGAAGGTAGGTATCGACGGCGCTAGTAAAGGTACGGAGGTACGGGTGTTGTAGAGGTGTTGTAGTAAGGTAGTAAAGTAAGAGAGAGAAAGTAAATTTACCCTACTAGGGCAATTTAAGGTTTAGGCAGCTGCCGAATCCCGGCATTAGTCACGCCGGGCAACGATACTACCTATCTTTCCGGACTAATAACACTCTACCGCACCACTATACCGCCGACGTTATTCTAGATAATAAGTATAAGAACTATACGTAAGTCGCCCCCCCTAGGCGTTATTAATTTCGAATATAAGTTGTTATCCGTTCGTTCGCTACTACTAGGATAACTGCTAGCAGGGGTTATATATATATATATATAGTATATAGATATCTATATTAAAACGATATATATATCAAGTATAGATATCTAGGACCTATATGTAAAAACGCGTCTAAATTATATATACGCCTAGA